GATAGAAACAATTTTGTATGTTAGTATCATAACTTACTTATTGTTTCTTCTACGTGTTGCATACGATGTGAAAAGAGAGAAATACCAACCACACTGATAGCCTATTTGGGAGAATTACAAATCCAATGAGCTGATCTCCCATAATGCCCATCCAATCGTAATAGCTGTTTCATGTCAACTTATTGATATCGATTCCCGGTGAAATATTTCATTACAAAACGTGTATGGAAATTGAATGAGGACATTCAGAACGCGGCTTGTATAAACGCTGAAGGTAAACCTTCACATCGCATACGACACGTAGAAGCCAATAAGTCAGAGTTATGATACTAACATACAAAATTATTTATATTTTAGAAACGGTTGAGTTTTCGACGTATATTCATTAAGACTTTCTTGCTCAATATGATGTGTACTATTTAACATATAAATGCTGAATGGTTTTTTATGAATATCCTGTATATGTATATATAAGCGTGATCATAAAATCACTCGAAATCTAATACACTATAATAAGTTCAACAAGTTTAAGAAGATATACTAAAATTACGTTGAAAATAATATAATTAAAAATTAATATTATAATATTAATTTCAGTTTAATTTTTGCGAAATACATACTTATAAAGCGGAAAATAATTCCGTGATAAAGTGATATTAAAATATATAACATATATGTAAACATAATTTCTTTTCACATTTAAATTTTAAATATATGAGAGATTTCAATTTTCTTTTTATAAATCTTAATTTAATTGAGAAAAATATATATGTGTGAATACATTGTACGCGTACGAATCAGCATGTATCTACACAAACGTATATCGGAATTTTACTCTTTCACACTCTCATGTATCGTGGTAAATATTCCAAAACGACTGGCGCTGATTGCGAAATCCATGGTGCTTCGATTGAAATTGAGTGATGCACCGATAAATGCACGCGGGAATGTGACACGATGATTGCCATGCGGGAAATGTGAAGAAACAGTTATGAATAATGGCATCGAAAAGCGCGATGGGAACATCGTTTTATACGAGAAAATCCCGTAAATTCTCAAAACATCATCAAATATTTGCGTTTTATACGCGTTTATAAAAAATTAAGTATCCACTTTAATACATCGCATTTGTCATAAAATATTTATCAATAATACGGCAAAATATCTAAATAAAATCAAAAAGATGATAAATTGTAGAATCATCCTCCTATTTAAATTTTTCTTAAAATTAATTCTTAACAAATTTTTTTTTCTCTGTTATATCATCATTAATGTCACAATTATCATGATTCCTACAAATCAGCTAACCCAATGTTTGCAAAATGTTGATTTTGAATCATTTAGGAAATTAAAGTTGCAATGTGCGTAGAAAAATAGGTTAAATTTAAAAGAAAGACAGAAAGACAATATCTATTTTCTCTTCGAGTTATGCTTTAATTTATGAAAAACAACAAAACTCAGACAAATATTATAATACGCAAAAATGCCTCTCCGAAGTATAACATAATATTTACGAGAGATAGCGCGGTTGAAATATTTATGTTTCGCATTTTTTTTTTCAAACTCTCCAAACATCATATATTCGCAAAAGTCGATCTCGTTCAAACTTTATGTGGCTACATTCACATGACAACACGCTCAGCCAGCGTTATTACGAAGGAACACGTAATCAATTATTGCCAGACAAATAGATATCATAAGTCTTTCTCAAATATTTTCTACATAAACAGGAGATTTGGTCTTAACATGCTTGCTTAATATATTCTGTTCGAAAAAATATATAAAACGGAAAAGTCGATCGTACTAGATTTCGCGAATATAATTATATTATACTTTTTTGAACTTGCAGAGAAATCTTTGCGTATTGTAATACTCGGTTTCTATTAAATTAAAGCATAAGAACGGAAAAGAGACATTTCGCTGCCTCTTTTTAAATTTCTTCTATTTTCTTACATTTAAGATTTGAATAATTACTTCCAAGTTTAATGCTGCCTGAAGTTTACAATAATTGACATACATATAAAGTAGCATTATAAAATATGTTTCAAATATAATAATTCATCGATCCAAATGGCGTATTTCACTTTTTGAGAGATTCTAATAGTTGTTCTACAATGTGCTCTTTGTTTCTTATTTCTTTTTACCTTTTGCTTTTTTCCTCTTTGTGATCGTTTAATTAACAATTATATTTCTTGATATGTGTTTTCTGTTTCTTCTGAAGTTCGTTAACGTTTATCTCGAGTAATAGAAAACGAAAAATGGGATAAGAAGTAAAAAGGCAAGATACAATAAATAGCAAAAAACAAGAAACAGGAAACAAAAAGTATATTGTAGAACAGGTTTAAGTGTATACAATCACAATATGTATACATATTGTGATGGTCATCGCATATCGTATTTTCTTTTGTGGAAAGCGATCGTTTTATATCGGATGAATTAAATCATTATACAATTAATATTTCATTAATACAGAAACAGCCATATTAACTGTTTACTGTTATAAGTGAGAGAAAATATTTGACAATCTGACACACTCTACATACGAGTACAATCATTATGAGTGGACAGATAGAAACTTTTTTGAAAAGAAAAACTATCATTAGAGTGTGGATAGTCTAAGGTTCGATTATATATGTTGAAATGAAAATAACAAAAAAACGAGCAAATTTGCTAAAATATAATTTCATTGATCTAATAAATTTGTTTATTTTTATCATTTTCATTTTATTTCAAGCTACACAATCGATTCTCTGATATAGCATGTTCCAGTCTCTATGTATTTATCGAAAAGAAATATTTTCGCACTAATTTAATTTAAGGCAACTCTTCCTTAACTACTATTATAATATTAAAAAATATATTATGTAATAAAAATAGTTGTTATTCGATAAAAAAAATATTGAGATTAACGCTCGGTTTTTCATTATTTGATTAACTTGTGGTTTAAGTTTAATCTCACTTAATTCGATGATGTAAAAATTGTATTTTTCTAGCTATAATTAATCGCAAAACAAAAGTTTTGTAGTGTGATAACTTTAAAAGCTACTCATTACGAAATCATCAATTTAATGATTAACGATAGCCAGAAAAAACAATTTTTACATTATCACATCAGGTTGAGAAAACCACAGTTGAACCACTAAACCACAGTTGAAAAAAATAAAAAAATCGGGCCTAAAAGGGCTTTTGCAAAACAAATTCGAGTCAGATATGAAGTATCATGTTTTGATAAAAAAGAATTATGAGAATATTCGCGAGTGTCGACATACACTCTGCTTCGAAATGACTTACAATTAACAAATATTGAAGGGTTGGCTTATAGCTCTTTAGCGGAAAGCGCATATCAAGTATAAACTACAAAGATGTATGCATTGGCATGCATTTGAATATTAATTTGTTATTTCCATCAGATTTTCTTGTTCCTGCATAAAACGATAAATATCAAACTGCAAAGAGTCGATGAGAAATAAACAATTGGGAAACGCTAGTCTGTATTAGATTAACAAATAAATTAAATATAACGTAAAAAGTCTTATTGGAAATATCAGTAAAGAATATTTTTTTTTTTTAAGAGAAAAGAGAGAATGCTTTATCTCACGATATAGATACAATCGCACAATTATTCAAACTGACAGTTCTCTCTCTCTCCCTCCCCCCCTCTCTCTGTACATATTTAATCTTTTAATAAAGCTGCCCCAGCTATATTAATTAAAAGTTATCAATTATACATTTTTACGGGAATTAATTATAAGTGTAATATTTAATAGAAATAACTATTTCAGCTTGGGCTTCTACTATTGCAAAAGTAGCGCATAATTTTTCAACGAGTGATTTTTGAGCGCAATGAGATCGCGCGGAGGGAGGATCTAGTAACTTTTAGGGATAAAACAGCATGCAACCACCTGCCGTCGCTCGTGCCACGAGGGTGGAGGACAGCAACGGGAGAAGGATGGCGAAGAGAAGGAGGAGAAGAGAACGGAGAAACGCGAGAAAGGGGAAAACGGATGGACAAGGAGATGGTGGAAAGAGAGGACGCGCGTGCGAGCGGAACGATACGGAGGGCGGAGGATACGGGGAGGGAGAGGAGGAGGGGGGAAGGGGGTGGCGAAGGTAAAAAGCGGCGCGACGACGCGATATCGATTCGCGGTAACTGATCCGCGAACGTATACACGATGCTCCTCGCACGGCTCCTCGCGAGACACGAGAAGAATTAGGAGACGAAGAAGAACGGACGCCCTGACGCTTTATAGTTTATATATAGAGGCTGAGCCACACGAGCAGACGGCCCGTGGCGCTTAAATATAGATGAAATGCAACGCGGGGTGTCTCCCGCGATCGCGACAGAGACTAGAGAGAAGGAGGAGAAAGACACCGAGACTCTTGGCGTGACATACACGAAAGCCGAGGCGAGAGCGCGCACATGGAGGAGAGGAGGAGAGATGATAAGAAACGACAGAACACAAACGACAAACGCCGTAGAGGATGTACAGCGAGAGGAAGAGGAAGAGGAAGAGGAAGAGGAAGGGAAAAGGGAACAATTATGGCCGACCGCGCAGCGTCGTCTGCTATGCTCCGGAATACGAAATACGAAATACGAAATACGAAATACGAAATACGCGATCGGCACGTCGATCGCGAATCGCGATCCGTATTCGCGCGCTGTATCTCGTTCGCGCAGAAACGCATTGGCACGCGCGAATATCCGACGAGGAAGAACCGAGGAGTTGCTCCTCGGACTGTGGACGTCGCACCGCGCCGGCAGGAACGACTCGCCTCCTTCCCATCTTGCCCGTCTTTCTCTCGCGCTATGTTCTTTCGTTGCGAATATTATCAGTGAAGACGGGAAAAGAGAACTGGTTAGACGGCAAAAGTGCGATAGAAAGAGAGTAAAACGCGAGCGAGCGAGGGAGCGACACAGCACGCGGAGTAAGCGGATTTCGCACGCTCGCTCGCTCGCTCGCGGCATGCGCCGCGAATGTAAGTAAAATTATGCTACTCACTTGCCGAGTTCCTCCTTCAGGTCGTAGTTGTCACTGAATCGCGTGCAAGCCGTTGGCACAGACATACCGAGGCTGCTCGCGATTAATTCAACCGCACTACCAGACTC